AGGTTCCCCATCAAGATGGGACCCCATCCAAACCATAGACAAGTATTCCAGGCAAACTAAGGGCTCTTTAAGACACACAACAGTCTCTCTATCTCTGTGCCTTTGTCTATCTCTATCTTTCTCTCTCTTCCACACACACTTTGACAGAAACTTCTACATTATTTATAACTCATACTAAAACAATCGAGTCCATTATTTGGTGAAATATACAGATAAAAATTTACATTCATTTATTTGGCATCGAGAACACCAGTAGTTTCCAATCCTCATGGATTCTTGGTCCTCCATACAAGAGATTCTGGGTTTAGTCAGACATGGGAATATTGATACTTTTTTTTAAATGCTCCCCAAATGTTGATACAATAAATATCTGTGATATAGACTCAGTCCTTTGAATCTTTGCATCATAATGTTAAGAGATTAAGTAACATTTAGTGATTAAAGAACACTCCACACAATGTTTGCTCATTGACCAGTTGTGTGTTAGGTGTTATAAAAAGACATTATACATTGATACTTGTTAAAATGAAGTAACACACCCTTTATTCAACAACATCATGGGCATAGGGATCACTACAGTAGTAATTTACTGTAGCGAAGATATTGATCTCAACACCAAATATAGCATTGACAAGTAGGAGTCTTTATCTGAGTATCAGGGGAAGGGTCAATGGATGGGTAGATACTAATAGAAAACAGAAGGGGTAAAGAAAATATAAGGCTAAGCTGACTTGGCAAAGAACCCAATCAGGTATCAATGATCATCATTAACTTAGATGGACATTCTTATCCTGACTTCTCTGCTAAAAATGGATGTCACAGGGCAGTGCACAGTGTCTAGTCAAAGAGAGTCTCGTCCTTGTCAATGCCATTGAGAAGGAACAGATTTATTTCATTTTATACTTTCACATCATGGTGCATCATTAAAGAAGCCAAAGCAGAAACCTAGAGGCAGGAACTGAAGCAGAGACCATGCAGGGATGCTATTTACTTGATTCTGCACTATGGCTTGATCATCCTGCTTTATTACACAACTCAGGACCACTTGTCCAGGGGTGGGGAGCACTGTATTCTGGAGCCTGCTATATCAATTGTTAATCAAGAAAATGCCCCCCACACACACTTGCCTGCAGGCCAATATGATGGAGGCTCTCTCTTCGCAGGTGACAAGAGTTTGTGTCACGCTAACAAGAACTAACCAGCGTGGGAGGATTAAGAGCCAGTGGGGGAAACTTGACCTGGAAGAATGTAACATGAATCTTAAAAGGTCTTATTAATAAAAAGAAACCTGGAGTATAAGGGTAAATGCTGAAAGATCAGAGAGACAGAACAGGCCACAGCTAATCTCACCTGGCCAACTTCTCAGCCGATCCTGTTTCCTCAAACTGGAAGCCTCTGTGTCCTCATCCAAATGGATCTCAGCTGAACTGCTGATCAAAAGCCTAAAAGCTTAACCAGGCTCTAGTTCCTGGTCCTCACACCTTACATACCTTTCTGCTTCCTGCCATTACTTCCTGGGACTAAAGGCATGAGTCACCATGCCTGGCTACTTCCAGTGTGGCTTTGAACTCAGAGATCCAGATGGATCTCTGCCTCCAAAATGCTAGGATTAAAGGTGTGTAAGAGCCATCATTTTCTGGCCTCTATGTCTATCTAGTGGCTGTTCTGTTCTCTGACCCCAGATAAGTTTATTAAGGTACAAAATATATTGGGGGACACAATATCACCACAGAAGACGTTAGCAGGAAAACTGAAAAGTGGATGGTTCTCATTCTAAACTGACAAGATATGTTGGTCTAGCTTGTACTGCTAACGGGATACCACAGACCTAGTAACTTATAAAGAACAGAATTTTATTTCTAATTATTTTAGAAACTGGAATTCTAAGATCAAGGCATCAGCCCTTGGTTTGGTGAGGCCCCTCTTGTTGCGTCTCCACACAGCAGCTGAAAGGGCAAGAGAGGGGAAATGTATCCCCACACAGTAGAAGAGTGAAGGAGAGCAACCCACACGCACAGTTTATAGTAGCGTTCATCCATTCATAAGCACTCTGTCCTTATGACCCATTAGGCTCCACCTCCCAACACTGGTGCATTAGAGATGTAGTTTCTAACTCATGAACTTTAGGCAACACATTTTAATCATGGCACAAGCACACAATCACTCCGTGAGGACTGTGGAGGAAACTCTAGAAAGGGAAAACAGGAAGGGCCATTATCACTCTGTTAAAATACAACTGAAAGCCCTGTAGCAAGTAATTAGATAAATTAGGCTTTCAGTCATCTCAGATTAGGGCCTTTCCAGAATGACATTTTATGTATTTAGCAATCTGCCTTACCTCCCTTGAAAATGTCAGAGGTAGGGCAAAGTAATTAGATTAATACAGTGGGCATTAATTGGCTTTCACATCAGACTGTCAAGTATTAGCTCTTTATTCATACAAGGTAACCAGAATTAAACACCAACGAAGAAATCAGTGATCTTAATTACTTGCTAAGTGAAGAAAATAATAGAATTCAGAAAGAGCTTTCTTCTACAAATTTTAACTTGAGATTAAAAAGTATGAAAACCAAAAAGAATTCTACCCATAGAAAAATAAAGTGTGGTAAATAAAAATAATAGAACAAAGCTTTGTCATCTTTACTATTACCAAAGTTGAATACTGTCCTAAGGCCAGGAGGCCTTCTCCAGGTCAAGACTGCAGGGTTTCCCATAATGTGTTATTTTCCTGTGAGAGATAGAAATGTCCCCCTTTATTAGTGCATGGGAACTTATATGGAAGAATTTCGTGTTCACAAGGCAATGGCAGACCCAAATTATACTGGGAGAGGAGACTAGTTCTATTTTCTGTGCTAGAGACGGTTTGCATGGTGATGGAGAAGGAAGAAATGAGAGGATTCCAGTAGGGACCCTGTCATTTTCCAAAGCACTCCACTGTAGTCATTGTTCCCATCCTGGAATGTTCAATTAATCACTCATAAACAAAGAACTTCCCCATTAGCTTGTCCTCAGAGAATCCAAAATATTAATTTACCCAACTGTTTAACTTCTTAGGAATGACTGCGATGGAAGAAATTTTCTTATTTTTAAGTTATTTTTCTCCTTTATCAAATGAGTCAGTGAAACTGGGAACAAGCAGGTTGCAGAAGATTGGAGGCAAAATGAAGTCGATGAGCTAGATTTCACATCACCCGAGTCATACAAGGGGTGTGCTTCTATCTGTCTCATAGTGGTATAAACATTCGACTGAGAGCCATGAGACCTAGAGAATGATTGGATACCATGACTCCATACCTACAGTCAAAATACCAATGCATCACAAGTGATGGGGGCAGGGGACACCCTGTGCTCTTTACTTTACATGAATTGGTATTTCATTTAATCCATGGTACTGATGAAGGCAGTGCCTCACCAAACAGATGACAGAGGGAAGCTTAATGTTGGTTGAGGTTACACAGCAGAACCTTGGACCTCAATTTTCTTGACTTAAAATCCAAGCCTTTTTTCCCATTAAAAGACATCACTCTTTTAAACAAAATGATATGTGTGTAAATGTTTTGCTTGCCAGTATGTATGTACAGCACTTGTGTGTCTTGCATCCTTGGAGATCAGAATATGGCATTAGGTCCTCTGGAACTGGAGTTACAGATAATTGTGAACTAGAATGTGGGTGCTGGCAGTTGAACCCAGGTCCTCTGAAAGAGCAACAAGTATTCTAAAATACTGAGCCATCTCAGCAGCCCCCAAAACTGTGGTTATTTTTAAGCAACTGCATATGCCAGGATCTTTGCTGGGCTCTGGGGTTTATAATTGGACAATCACACCGACCCTGTCTACAGAAAACACCCACAGAGCCTGTATCATCCCCAGGGATCTCCCAGCTTTATACTACATGCTTGCCTACTTTCTCCCCTGGTGGTTGAATGAATGTACATCTCTTTTGGTGATCTCCTCACATGTCCATGTCTGCCTGCAGGTGGTGGGCAGGGGAATGGGAAGCATGTTCGACGACATGCGGTCCCTACGGAGAAAAAAAGAGAACAGTGCTGTGTATCCAGACCATGGGCTCCGATGAGCAGGCTCTCCCAGCTACAGACTGCCAGCACCTGCTGAAGCCCAAGGCACTGGTTTCCTGTAACAGAGATATCCTGTGTCCATCAGACTGGACAGTGGGCAACTGGAGTGAGGTAAGCTCAGAGGTTGAAGGGACAGTGATATTAGCCTTGCTTCATCAGCCGCTTACTCATTCTTCCAAAAGGACCTAGCATAAAATTGTCTACTATACAGCATCCACCATGTCTAGCTTGCGTCCTGCATTTCCTGTTCCCAGCCTTCCAAGAGCACATCCTCCCTCACTGAGTGGGCAGCTATGTACTAGGGGTCGGGTGGATCTCACTAATCCAGGCTCGTGTCAGCTAATCGATTCATTATTAGGATATCGGCTGACCTGTTGTTAAGCTATTGTAGCAGACCAAAGCCACACACACACACATACCACAGCCCCCAAAGCCAGTCTTTAAAACACTTGGCAGTTCACTGTTGTAGTTAACCCAAAGGAGGGTTACTCTGGTGGCAAAATGAAGAATGCACTTGATTGAGAAAGTGTTCAAATCATTCATCTACTCAGCATGCATTTGGGATATCTGTTAATAGTTCACAAATTCAAATTAGTATTGCATTTTTCCCAAATTAACTTGATCTAATTCTCGGGGTATAATTGGAAATCAGAGGGCTTAGAGGTTATGGGGGGGGATGGGCTTTAATGTTCAGTGTCACCGTGATGTCTGGATCTGTTGGGCTTTGCTCTGCCCCAGGGTGACTGGAGAGAGACAAGCTCTTCTTTCCTCAAGCTACCAAGTGTCTCCAAAGACGTTGCTTCCACTTCCCTGTGTGCATTTCTGTTATGACCTAAGGAACAGCCAGACAATAAATGACCTTTATAAATGAACACATCAGAATTTTGAGGACAATACTGACTTCTTTGTATGTGTTTTTTTAGAAAAAAAAATTGCACATATTTATTGTGTACGTGTACACATGCACTGTGCACACTTATTGAGGACACAGAGGAACTGTGAGCAGCATTAGTAGGTTCCAGGGATCAAACTCAGGTCATGAGGTTTGGTAGCAAGTGCCTTGACATTCTACTGGTTCCTGTGCAATTTCTTGAGAAGCTGCAAACTTCCTATAATGATGAAAAGAAATTTTCAGAAGCTTTCCTGAGGACTTATCTTCAGGGAAGTGGAAAATATTTGGTGCAGAAGAACATTATAGAAAAATAACTAGAATGAACATTGATGAATAAATAAGCAACATACTCAGTTAAGATAAAATATTTGTGAAAGTGTTTTATGAATAAAGATTTCTTGTGTGGCTTATGAAGAAGAAGTCTAAATTTTACATCAATGAAATTATCTTTTCTGAAGATACTTATTTGAAATTAGAGTATTCATGTGAGTCAAACGTCCTTGATAGCCTTCCCAAGAGAGTTTCTTTAACAGATAATCATAGTTGGGATCGTTTAACTTCTAGTTCTGTACAGGATGTTCTAGTAGGTATGTGGACTACAGCAAAGAAATGGAATTTATGGTCTCCAGACTATGAAAACTTCCTTTCAGGGGATGAAAGAGTTGGGGCAGAAGAGGGGAGGTGGGCAGTAGAGAAAGACCTCGGAGGATGCATGTAACAATAATATGTCTAGCAGCTAATATAAGCACATTATGGATTTGTGCACTGATACATCTGTGCACTTCAATGGCAAGTAAAAATATCCTCCCCGCTATTCTTGAGAAGAAGCAATCATAGCGTGCATTTGGCCTGACCTGTTCACCACCAACCTAGACTGCTATAAATTACAGTGTTGTCAAAATAAGGCTGACTGGGGTATTGTGATGGACCTATTAAATTTGTTTACCAAAAAATGTGTTGGCTGCATCCAAAACACTTAATAATTCTTGTCATGTAGAATTTACTAATTGCCAGAATCCAGGGCTTCCTCAAAAGACTGTAATTACAGATTTGGCCGAGGAGACCTTCCTGCACCCATGTGTGCAGCACATAATAACCCACCTTAGCTGGAAAGGAAGAGACCAAAAATGTTGGCACGAGGTGACCAGTACTAGTGTTGGTGGTTCCCAAAACAGGCCATTGTGGAGCTGATTGACAGTACATGTGGAGTCCCGTTTCTAGCTTCCTCTTGCAGTGCTGAGCGGGAGTCAGGCTGGCACCTTTATTAGGAGATGTAGGCAAAGTGCCCTGTAGGTAAATCAGCATCAGTAGATTCATTGGATAGATGTTTTCCCTCCTTCCGTTGTCTTGATAATAACCCTCAATGAACTTTGCTGAAATAGATAAAAATAAATGTCTTTGACATTCTAACAATGCCAAGATACCTTTGTAGAGTTTTATGTGTATGTATTTTTATTAAAATTTTACATATATAGTTTATCTAGCTTTCTTTCTTATTAAAATAAAATCTTTTCCATACAATATACTCTGATGACAGTTTCCTCTCCCTCAATTCCCCAACATCCTTCTCCCCTCCTCTCACCCCAATCTACACCCTTTCTCCGTAGAAAACAAGCAGGCATGTAAAAAGAAAGTAAAATAAATAGGACACAGCAAACAGAAGCATATATGTGTGTGTGTATGTATGCATATATATGTATGTATGTATGTGTGTGTGTGTGTGTGTGTGTGTGTGTGTATGGTTTTTCGAGACAGGGTTTCTCTGTGTAGCTTTGTGCCTTTCCTGGATCTCACTCTGTAGTCCAGGCTGTCTTTGAACTCACAGAAATCCACCTGCCTCTGCCTCTGTCTCCCGAGCGTATATTTTGATCATACTCTTTCTTCTCCCCCAACTCCCAGATCCTCCCCACCTCCCTACCCACCCAACTTCACGTTCTTGCTCTCTTTCTCTCCCCTGAAACAATCATAAAAATAAAAAACAGAGCTCAAAACAAACAAACAAACAAACAAATACCCAATAAGGCAAAACAAACAGCACACACAGAAAAATGTGGAGTTTGCTTTGTGTTGGCCAACTCCTCCTGGGCATGGTGCCTTCCCTCAAGTGCGGTGGATACACCCAGTGACACACCATTGAGGAAAACTGATTTCCCTCTCCCAGCAGGGATCAATCACAAACAACTTCTTGTTTAGAGGTGGGACTTTGTGCCTGCCTCCCCTTCTCAGTTCTGAGATTCTTATCTGGTTGGAACCGATACAGGTCTTGTGCACATTGCCAGTCTCTGTGAGTTCATACAGGCATCAGTCCTGTTACACCTGGAAGACACTGTCTTGTTGGAGTTATCCAGCACCTCTGGCTCTTTCTGCCTCCTCTTTGACATACATCCTTGAGCTTTTGGAGGAAGGATTTGATAAATACATCCCATTTAGGGCTGAGTGCTCTCACTCTGTACACTGCCCAGCTGTGAGTCTCTGTGTTAATTACTATCTACTGCAAGAAGCAGCTTCCCAGAAGAGGATTGAGTGGTGCACTGATCTAGGGTATAGCAATATGTCTATTAAAAACATTTTATATAATATATTTTGATAATATTCTTTCCCACTCCCCATGAAAAGATGATAAACATGATTCTTGGCCCACAGTATTTATCATCAGAACTTTGCCTTGATACCTACATTGTTTGAAGCAGAGAAGTGCTCTAGATCTACCTTGGTCTGCACTGAGCTGTGGATTTGCTTAAGTATGAGATAACTTGGCCAAAACTCCAAAACTGAGAACTTTTAGGTTTCTGTTGAATGGTCCTCCCTGCGACTCCCAAGATGGAAAGAGAAAAAGCAAAATTCATGAGATACTCAAATCAAGGTTCCTCCATTAACCTCTCTTAAAGAGAAAATAGGTTCTGCCATGGCAGGCCAATACATTCAATTCTGAGAAACAGTGAGTGGTTTGGAGGGGGCTTCTCCTCTCTGCTCACCCTAGGAAACCCTTTCTTATTTCCTGGTCTCTCCAGCCACTGTTTCCCACCCCACCCCAAACTGAATTCATTCGCTTGACAACCACCTTAATTTCAAACCTTGCCAAGGAGCTTGTCTTGCTTTGACAAAAACTCAACCTAGTTTTTTAGCCCAGAGAATGGTAACTCTATTTATTGTAAAGAAAGGCAGATTATCCACTTTTGGGGGGCTCCCATTTTTTCCCCCAAGCGCTACACTTCTGTGGCTTGCCTTGTGAGAGACAGTCACTCTAGTGATGGGTTTGTGGTTACTAGATCACAGCTCCCTTGCTTTAAATCTTGGCTCTACCACATGTTAGATTTAATCTCATTTTCTTTTCATTGTTCTCATTACCCATAACATAGCAACAGTTGAGGCTTTTATACTTTCTCAAGTATAGATGAATTCATATTTCCAAGTTCTTGTAAGCACAGGACCTACCTAGCAAAACTGCTAGAAATATTAACAGTGGCTAAACATTCGCTCATATGGTAGAGGGATGGACACACCAATAATGTCACCTGTCATTTGTCAAATGCTTTCCCTGACTGTGTAGGCTATTTTGTTTAACCCTTAAAATAACTCTAATGGTTGATAGCAGTTCGTTAACTTTCATTTTGCAACTTGAAAACTCAAAATATAAGCCTTAAAGTTGCTTCTTAGACAAGAATTCAATAAATGATGTGCTGAAATTCATATCCATCTAGCATTTGAAGGCAATCTCTGAGTGGTAGAAGAGTAAAGCTTTATTTTGGTCGACACTAGGTCACTTTTAAACCACCCTCCTATGTGCTTGGTGTATATACTGCCTAAGCGAGCATGTTTATTCAGCCTGGTTTTTGTATGGGTTGATGGACAGTTGCAGCTGTTCATTGATTTGATTTAATATTAATGTGCATGCAGCACACATGGCATTTCTTTAATCCACATGTAAGTGTGTGTCTAAAGGGCTTCTTGTTTCAGGAGAATTTTAGGTTATTTACAGTCAAAGGCTCTACATATTGCAGTGGTGAAATAAAAATTATGGTCATAACTAGGAACAGAGATCATGATCTAAGCATGAAGCACAGATGGTTACTGTTTTGCAGTTTGCAGTTTAGCCTCGAGCATTAGGCAACTAAAACAATATAGTAGGTACCACATTCTTTCTAGGTGATAGACAAAGTACACACCCATATTGTGTCCATATTATAAATGATTGCCAAATATGTGGTGTTTTGTCTGTTTATCTGTGAACCAGCCCTCTCTTGCTAAGCAAACATCTCCAAAACTTTAAAATTTATTTTAAAATTAATTCTTGCTAGGTTAGCCAAGCTAGATTCTGACTCTTGACCTTCTTGCACTACCCTCTTGAGTATCTGGGAATACAGATGTACCTCCCTACACTCACCTTATGTCAGGATTGTAGTCTTGGATCCAAGATATAGAGAATGGTTCATTCATAGGCTCTGTGAAAAGCTGTACCATGTTTTTACATGGATGGATGGATGATGGATGGATGGATGGATGGATGGATGGATGGATGGATGGACAGACAGGAAACCCTTCAAAACACCATGTAATTAGTAAATGTGTCTTTCTTTATGCATCTCAAACAAGAAGGGAAGCAAAAGATCCCAAAGAACCACTCAGACTCTATAATGCATAAACTCACAGTACCATCTTAGGTAAATTATTTCACTTCATAGGCTTCAGTTTCAGCAACTATAACCCAGTATGTTTTTTCTCTTGTTAGAGAGACATTGTAGGTGGTGATTTTCTAGATTTTTCCAACCCTAGAAATTTCTAATTGTGTGATCTTAAGCTAATATTAACCCACTCTAACTCTTTCCTCATTTCTATTACTGTAAGGATTGAATAAAACAAATCATGTAAGTACCAACAATATTGCCTGAAAAATAGTATGTGCCACTAAATGATGACTTTAGTATCTGACAAGACAAGGCTGACTTCCTGTGTTACTCTAATTTTGCAATCTTTGTCCCTCAGAGGTATCCAGAGCCCCAAAGGAATTGACCTATGGTCACCTTAAACTACCTATCCTTTAACTCAGGGCCCCCTTAATTCATAAAGCACTATGAACATGCTTCATAGCACCTTCCAGTTTTTCAAAACTCACCATAAAAGACCTAACAACAAATGAATGTGTTACTTTCAAAAACTCAAAAGAATATTGGAAGTCAACCATATGTATATTAGTAGCAAAATAGCCTAATTTTTCAGGTGAAGAAACTGTAACATAGAGATGCTTACAAACATGTTCAAGTCATATGGCTACCAAGTGATGAAGCAGGCTTTGAATGCAGGCAGCTAAGATTCTACATTGAGTACTGTCATATATTTCAAGTATCTATGAAATGCAGCAATATGGCAGTTCCTAGAATTCATAAGAAACATATTCTGTTTGGAAACAACTTGAGAGTCATCTTTCTCACTTTGCTGGAATTCACAATATACATAATGATTGCTGAGATCTGAGTCTCTCAAAATGAAATGACTTAGTCTCACCAAATAATTGTAAAATCAAAAGAAAAAATGTTTCAGTTGGTTTCTACAGCAACATGCTGCCTCTCACTTGAGGCTAGAAATGCATTGGTGTGGATCTGATGAGAAATAAAGTAAGCCATGTAAAAGCAGATGTGCTTAGGGTCTAGGAATATCTTTAATCTGCCCTTCCTGTGTCTGACCAAAACACTTAAACAGATGAATAAATCAGTCAATCAACCACGTTTCTAGTGGTCTATGAAGTGAAATCTTTTTTTAAAGGTGTTATAATATCATGGCGGCCATATATCCACCATAGGTCTGATGGTTTGGATGAGAATGACTCCCATAGGCTCATATGTCTGAAGGCTTGCTCCCTAGTTGGTGGAACTGTTTGGGAAGGATTAGGAGGTGTGGCTTTGTTGAGGAGATGTGGCCTTGCTGAAGGAGGTATGTCACTAGGAACAGGCTTTAAGGTTTCAAAAGCCCACACTACACCCCCCAACCCTGATGCCTCGTAACTGTGGATCATCATGTAAATTCTCAGCTATTGCCCCAGCACCATGCCTATCTTCCTGCTGCTGTGCTCATAATGATCACAGACTCTAACCCTCTGGAACTATGAGACCCAATGAGCATTTCGTAAGTTGACTTGGTCATGGTATCTTGTCACAACAGTAGAAAAGTAACTAAGAAAATGGGTTAAAGGAAGAAAAATTTATCTTAGCTCACAGCTTTTTTTGTTTGTTTGTTTTTGTTTTTATTTTTGTTTTAGTCCATTATTTTTATTTCCACGGCAAGGAGTAACATCCTGTAGGAAGTGCCTTGTGAAGAACGATGTTCACTTTATGGTATTTAGGAAGCAGTCATAGGAAGAGGTTAAGGAAAAACACACCTTTCAAATCCTGGACTTGGGATCTGCTTCCTACAACCAGGACCTGCCTTCTACTCAATATCGCCTCCCAACAATGCCATGCTACCATAAGCCATTAAGGTGTTTTTCCATTGGCTAGATTAAAGCAGCCACAGTCTAATCACTGCCCAGTGAATGGATTCACCAGGCTGGAACCAGGCTTCCCCATAGGATCCTTCTGGGGAAACACTTCAAATCCAAGCAGTGACAAACACAGTTAACTAAACAGGCCAGATATTAATAGTCAGAAGTGAGTTGTCAATGGTTCTTCGAAATGAAGGCGTGGCAGCAAACACCAACACCAAGAAAGTACATGTGAAGTCCTGCAGGTGTTCCTGCTAACAGAAAAGAAAGCATGGAGCGACAGGAGACATTTCCAAGCTTACCTCCAATATTCTTAATTAAGGTTTCAAGCGCTCCTGTGGCTTGATGCTCTGACCTGCATTACTTCTATGGGCCTGGAGTATCTGCAAATGCTAACATCTCAGTTTCTTCCAAACATGGCAGCCTATGTTCTTCTGGTTCCTGGGGAATATACCTAGGCACTCCCGTTTGCAAGAGCTACTCAGAAAGTTGGCTTCCAGCCCTGCTAAGTCTCCTTTATTGTATCTGTTTGTAATCATCTCAGATACGGAGTTACTTTCTTAGAGTTTCCCTAAGAAAATCTCACAAACTAGCTGGCTGATACAAGGGGAAATGTCTAGTATTACAGTTTAGAAGGCAGAAATTCTAGATCAAGATGTCAGGAGGGCTAACTTGCTTCTGAAGTTCTGTGAGGGAGAACGACCTCATGCCTCCTTTTCCTTGTTTCTGGTAGTTTCCTAGAAACCTTTGGGCTCCCTTGATGTGCAAGTGAACCACCACATCCACCTTCATCTTCCCATGGTATTCTTCCCACAAGATGTTTCTCAGCCCCAAATTTCCCCTTGTATAAGAATATTGATCGTACAGGATTAGCACCCACTCTAAAAGCCTAATTTTTAGTTGATTTCCATTTAAAAGAGCTGTCTCGTAATTAGATCACATTCTGAGATAGAAGGTGATTTGACCCTGACTCTTTTGGAGAGGAGAGGGGGTACACACTAACTCATAACATGTAATGTTTTAGCTTATGTTCAAACATGATTTTTGGTATAAAGCCCAATCATTCACGTATAAATTCCCGTGACATAGAGAAACGTTTTATGTATAAAATACCAGCTGTTTCTCACAAAGCCCCTATAGCCCAAAGCCTCTGCTGAGTTCCCACTGGGTGTTTGAATGGACTCACTCAGTGCCATACCTCTGTGCCACCAGTGAGCTCCTTTTGCTGTTGTGCCCCTCGGGTGGGTGGAGTTGACCAACCTAGCAGCAGGCTTCTTTCTCATCGGGCTTTCTCCAGAGGCTTTGATCCAGGAGTGGTAACTAGAGCGGGCAAGATAACTCCCAGAGAGGGCACAAATAGAATGAACAAATAGCAAGCTACTTGCCTGGTACAGGGTTCAAAATGATAAGGTCAAGGCATAGGATAATCATAGCTGAAAGTGATTGTGAGAATTCCAAAAGTGCCAATTGAGATGCGCTTTAAGTATGCGTCACACAGTTGCATTTATCTCATCTGAAGGGCTTGACAGCTCCTGAAGAGATAAACGCTGGTAGAAAGAGCTCTGGGCTGAATACAAAGAGGCACTGTTTGTTCTGGTGGCTGTGAGAAAAGGCAACTTCCTGTTTGGACTCAATGTACTTGGTAGATAGCATGGTCCTGTTGGGCACAACATGCCCTGTGATAAGGATGGCTAAGGAATGGCCACCGAGGGAACTTGGAAGAGTGGGTATCTCCTGGATAAGGACAGTTCATGTGGGTATGCCAGAGAACATATGTGTCCATCACAAGCCTGGGTTTCCATGACTGAAGCTTTGAGCTCACTGAGAATGAAACTAATGGGTGACAATTAGACTTTTCAAGCAGAGTCAAAAATCGGGGGAATCTTACTTATAGGAAATGTCTAGCTTTTAAAATGTCCACCACTATTCCATTTTTTTTACGTATCAATTTTGATGGTTTAAGATGGAACTGACTGTAGTGGGTAGCCATTCCAGCTTGGTTCTGGAAGTTCCAACCCCCATTGAGACTCTGGCAACTGTCACGCCTACGAGGCGGGGCGAGGGGAGGCGCCTGGGGACCCGAGAGCTGGATGGGCCAGCCCGCTCTGGGCGCTCTCTCGGTGCCGGAACGCTGACCAGTGCAGATTGACTGTGCAGAGCTCCGGAGAACACCGCTGGACTGCATTACACCTTCCCCAGACCCTGCGACCTACCCATTACTTAATTTGTGAGTTACGCCATTAAATAAATATCCTTTTAACTACGTGGAGTGGCCAAAATAATTTCTCCAATAACTGACCAAAAATGCATGTGATTGTGCTTGGTGGAAACAAAGTAAAGGAGAAGATTTTTTACACCAATAGGACTTGAGGAAGCAAGGAACTTAAGCTAAAATAAAATACAGCTTATAGGTGACAATTTTTTTGCAGTTATTTCTTTTTTCCATAATTCAATGTGGTGGAGGCAGAGAGCATATACTTCAAAGTTTTTTTATTAAAAGAAATTGAGGTGTATTGTGCACTTTCACATCCCCACAGACATTAGAACCCCTACAAGCCAAAACAACCCAGAAGACTGGGGGAAGACGTAGACGAATTCCCTTATGTTGTTATATATTCCGATGCCTCTTGGAGAGAAAAGTTGCAAGAGAGGCCACATGCACTGGAGACCATTTGGTATTAGCTCTATTTGTGAATCCATGCTGAAAGCAAAAGACGGCCTGTGAGGAAATGTATGCAGGCACAAACTGAAACTTACTTCGTTGCATTTATAATTTTTTATAATGTGAAAGTTTGAAAATCCAAGGTGATGAGAGATGGATAAATTGAATGGGCCATGGAGTGTCTTCATATTCAAAAATGACAGGAATCTGGGATAAAGCAAAAAGAAAAATAGCTCCAGCTTGCTCTTGTTAGGCTCCCAGTGCATTTTAGAGGGAGCCACAGAAGCAGCAGAAGATACTATTTCCTAAGTGACAGCCTCATTGTTGGTGGGAAATAGTGTGTTGCCTGGTGTGTAAAGCCCAGTTCCCACCGTAGATTAGCCCTGTAACGACCGACCAGCCCCGGGACGGGGCATTTGAGTCCTTTACTAACAGTGCCCTGAGCCCAGTCTGTACTTGGTACTGCCTTGACTCCACAGCCTTCTGCAGTCAACGGTGCTTCTTGCTTTCAAATGAGCCAATTCCCCAGAGCTATTATGCATCTTGAGTGATTGTGCTTGACTGAAACAAAATAAAGGAGGAGATTTTTACACCAATAGG